CTTATCATAACAACATCTCAAAATATTAAATTCTATACATTTTCCATCACATAATCTGGTTAGTCAACGCTAACTCTTTTCATCTAGAATGCAAACCCTTATTATAGCCACACTCTTGCTTATACACAATATTATCCCTTTGTCTTAAATTCATAAACTCTATCTCCATATCTCTTATACACTTGTCACTGATGCATCTATTCTTGAATTCTTATACAAATACTCACCACATCCTTTGATCTTTTTAACAATCTTATAGTGACACTTGTTCACCATATTCTATCTTATCCACATAATAACAAAACTACTCAATATCATTTTTCCGATTCAAAACAATGAAAACTTTCTATCATTATTCAGATATGATTTCAGCTTTCTGAAATCAACTTTTCATCTTACTAGGCATTTCCTGAGGTGTCCGCTATTCATCCTGCCTGGCCAGGGCAGGTGAATAGCTATCACAGTCAGGAATATCACCTTTCACTTACTTCGAAATTATCACGATCGGATTTCTACTGTATTAAACTATTCTTATTCTATTAGCAAGACAACATACTCCTTACACTATCATATCAGAAATTTTTCACTCTATGTTGGCATGTACACATTTTATGACACTTTGGACTTAGGTTTATGCCAAGAATCGGCTAAACCTTAGCTCTGATACCATTAAATGTAACACCCCCAACCCGTACCCGACCCGGATACGAGTCCGAGGTGTCACATTAACTTTTCAAACTTTGACTCTTGACAAAATTCAAAGAAAATTTAAAACTTTCCTTAGAGTAAAAGCAGTTTAGTTACATAATTTGACCATAATAACCAAAATCGATCAGATCATATTTAATTCAATCAATTAGTACATGCCAACTATATTCAAAATAACAAAAATCATTTAACTCATCTATTTTCTGATCTGAAATCTTGTAAGGGAGATGCTGACCTGTATTACTCCTCACAGCTTCCATATTCACTTTCTGTAACCTGCGTGTGAAACACTCATACGCTAAGTCGATGACTTAGTGAGGCATAAAGAAAACACATCTAATGGAATTCATACCCACTAATCATGCATGATTGTTTTATGCTATCAAATTATACAACTCATTTACATATACATCAACATATATTCATGTATATTATGCAACAGATACCATAACCCCTATCACACATATATCATATCATGCACACATCATATCACAAATCATATACATATATCACATACATTGTTCTCATATCACCAAGACATATATGCACTTCTACCATGTCACGAGAAATATACATATCATTATATCAAATTATGTTCTCTTTTCAAAGCCCATGTACACATGTGAGAACTATAGATATGTGAGTCTATAGATGTTGTGCACTATGCTGTCACCACAGCTCATATAATTGAACCGAAGTGCCACGTAGAATTACACTGGAGTGCCACGTAGAATTACACCGGAGTGCCGCGTAGAATTGCACCGTAGTGCCATATAATAATGTCCATAAGGACTACATATCATTCCTTAAGAATCATATACATATACTAGGGATCAAGTATGTGTCTCACCAGACTTCACACATGTTCCAAAGAATACATATATGTCCCGAAGGACCACATATCATTCCTTAAGAATCATATACATATGCCAAGGATCAAGTATGTGTCTCACCAGACTTCACACATGTTCCAAAGAATACATATATGTCCCGAAGGACCGCGTAGACCCTCAACTCTTGGCATGCCAACTATACCCCTAGCTCTCAAGACACATAACATGGGCATTTTCTTTTATGCTTATCATTTCACATAACACATAGTTCAATTACTCATAGAACATTTTCATATGAGTCACATTTAGATGTCACATAGCTTATATACTTTCTCACGTAGTTCCATAGATCCATATCATATAACATATATCCCAAAGTGCACATAATCACATATATCATATCATATAGCTTGGATCATTTCTCAGATATTCAAATAAACATACATATCATATCTTGTTCACATATGATCATATATGCTTCATATAACACATAGAAACACCTAGAACACTTTCTCATAGCTTATATCAATTTTCAGAGTCCTTTCATATTACCTGATGACATATATCATATAGATATATAATAACGAATATCATATTATCTACCTTATGCTCCATTTCTTTGTATTCCCTTAGATTATAAATTATGTCGTATTTTTAAACATATATCATTTAATAGTATTTTTATTTAAGTACTAATTTAATCTCTTTACTTAATTCAATTTCATATATTCATTATAATCTTTTCATATAGCTCCATTATACTAATTCTCATAATAAATCATACCACTATGTACTTGTCCAACTCATGTTTCCATTATGCATATACTGTTACCCATGTTTACCTAGTTCATATCACTTCTTATAAACTCACTTTCATCATATTTTCCTATTATTACATATTTTATCTCATAACCATGTATCCACATAGTCTTATATTTCATTATCATATTACATATATTTGTTCTCCTATGACTCTTAATAAACATCTATTTATATTTCCCTACATCTCTCGACTTATCTTCTATACTCCTATAATTTCATAACTTATTTTATATCATTTTCTCTTTTCACTCACATAAACCATCTATTTATTTAGTTCAATTTCTCATGACTTCCACAATACTCTTTAATAAAACTTTGTAGCTCTTCAATTTAATACATAAACCATAGTTTCCTTTAATTTATCAATCTTCTTTATATAACTTATGTATCCTTATTTATGCCCTCAAATTCATACTATTCTCTTAAAGTCTCCTAACATTTCTTGTATAATCACTTATACCATATCATATGACTTATACTTGATTATCTTATTCTCTCATGTTCATTTCATTTCTTATGACTCTATCATATAACTTATTCCATGTTCTTCCATTATTACATAATAAAGTCTTACATAAATCATATAGCATATACAAAACATATCATTATCTTTAGTCATGCATATATACAATCAATGTAATACATATAATCACATATAGTTATAACCAACACATAATCATGTCTATGACTTCATGCATATTACTCTAGGAAATAGACTCATCGCAAGTCTTATTTCCATTAAACACTACATGTCACTAGTATGCACTCACCTTGGCCTCACTAGTCAATTCAAATCTCTTATCTTTCCCTTGATCGATCTTACTTGCCAAATGTTCCGGAATTTCTTTACGCGCAGAATCTACATAAATGTACATTTTGAGGCAATCATTAGATACCTACACCTTGTAATTTGATACTAGCAACTTAAACGAACTTATTAAACCAATATTTACAATTTTCCTTTAGGGGGAATCGGTTCCCTACTAAGGGGGTATTGATTCCCTCATGACATTCTGGAAATTTTTGTTCGTTTGAAGGGGTATTGGTTCCCCTTGAATGGGTACCGATTCCCCTTGCCCAGAAATCATATTTTTAGCTCGAAAATCACTTCATTTTCAGCTCAACACTTCATATATCATCCCCTTTTTCATTCTTAACTCTAGTACACATACTTAAACCAATCTATATTCATTTATTTCATCTTAAACCTCAAATCATATATTCCATATGTAATTCAAGAATCATACCAAATTTTCTATATGTTCTAAATCCAATTCTATCACTTCAAATCTCTTAATTTAACCATTGACAAGTCAAATTTAACTTCCAATTTAAGAAATGAACTTTATTCCAAGATTTCATTTGTAAACTCTAAATCTTTAATCTCTCCTAACTCCACCATCCTTTCCTTTTAAGATGATTTAAGCTTTCCTTAAGCTTAGTTATCATCTAATAATTAAAACCCAACCTTAAAATCAACAATTCAATTATAAACAAAGAAACTTACCTTTGGCTCTTGGCTTCCACGTGAAGAAGAAGAAGAAAGGAGAAGAGAACTCTGGAGAATTCTCTCCCTTTCCACGTGCATTTATAATCCCATTTTTAATTCATTTCTTGGTCAATTGACCCTTTTGCCCTTTATTTCCTTTAATAATTACTAAATAACCTTAATCATATATATCCAATAATCATTGAACTATTTCATTCTTATACTTTAGTCACCAAATTCTGAAACTTTACAATTTGGTCACTAACCCGGTATTGCGGATGTTACACAAATACACCGATGGAAGATCATCCACACCACAATAGATCGAATCAGCCTACCTCTTCACAACACTCTTCTCCACATTAATCCCGAACAACTTAGTCTTTTTCATATTTAATTTCAACCCAGCCGCAACTTCGAAGATTTTGAGAACTCGATTAAAGTTTAAAATTGACGACTCATTAGCTTCGGAGAAGATGAGAAGATCATCCGCGAATTGAATGTGAGACAAACCAACACCACCATCCCCTATATTAACCCCTTAACAAAGACCAATATCAATTGACCTCTTGAACATAGCACTAAGAGCCTCCCCCACAATGTTAAATAGAAATGGCGATAACAGACAACCTTGTCTAAGCCCCTTCTTGATTGAGAAATAATTAGACGGGCACCCATTAACTAACACCGAAATCAAAGGAGTCGAAATGCATATATTAACCCAACTCCTCCATCTTCTACCAAAACCCATTTTCTTAAGGATCAAATCCAAAAAACCCCAATCAATACTATCAAACGCTTTACTAAAATCCGCCTTAATCAAAACAGCTCCTTTCTTACTTTTTAACAGCCAGTCAATCACCTCATTTGCAATTAAAATGCAGTCTGATATTTGCTTACCGGCCATAAAAGTGAATTGATTCTCCCCGATGACCTCAGAGGCGCAAAAGCCCAACCTCTTGGCTAAAACTCTAGATACTATCTTATACAAACAACCCACCAACGAAATCGGTCTGAAATCCTTCGGATACAAAGCCTCCACCTTCTTAGGAATGAGGTGAATAAATGATTTATTAAACGATAAATCTTGAACTCTACCCCAATAAAAATTATGCATGAAAGTCATGACTTCCCCTTTAATAGACCCCCTAAAACTTCTTAAAACAATCCAAATTGAAACCATCCGGCCCCGGGGCTCTCGACTCATCAGCCCCCTTAATAGAAAGCCACACCTCCTCCTCTGAGAATGGACGCTCGATAAAACGCCTAGAAACAGAATTCAACCTCTTCAGATTAAGTCCAAATCTTTTAAGAGAGACAATGAACACTTCCTTGTATCCAGAGCTAAAGTACTTAACAAAAACCTTCTGCATTCCAACCTGACTTTTTACCACTGTATTCGAGATCTTGAGCTTAGATATCAAATTAATTCTACCTCGAGCAACAGCCGAGAGATGAAAAAATCTGGTATTTTTATCCCCATCTCTAAACCATTTCAATCTCAATTTTTGCAGCCACTCATGTTCTTCTTTCCTCACCGCAGCCCACAGCCTTGCCTTCAAAAAATATAACTCATTCTGCAATGCAGTGCTATTACCATCAGCAATGACTCTATTCTCTAAAATATCAATATGCTTGTTAATCTCTCCCACCGAAAAAGGGACCTTCTGATTTGCTGCACTTTCCCGAACCTTGGTCGCATCCTTTACTAACTCTAAAATTTGATTCATACCCTTACCACTATTTCTTTCACATAATTCCTTAATTATTCCAACAAGATCTGAATCTTCCGCCCAATGATTAAACCATTTAAACGGACGATTGAACTTTTTGGCCTTCTTTTCCTTTAAGATAATAGGTATATGATTGGATAAGCTTTTAGGTAAGGTGGTTTGTGTAAGAAGAGGGAACAAACTAACAATTTCAACAGAGACCAAGAACCTGTCTAGCCTACTTGCCGCCACATTCATACCACCCCTGAACCAAGTAAACTGACTACCTACGTTTGGAACTTCAACAAGATCCCAAGTAGAGATAAAATCCTCAAACATATTCATACCTCCTAAATGATCACAAACCCCTACTCTTTCATCATCTGATCGGACAACATTAAAATCGCCACCCAATATAATCGGGGAATTCAAGTCAGTAATCACCGCATTCAAAATCTCAAAAAAATCTTTCCTCTCCCCTGGCACGTTCGGACCATAAACATTAACCAAACCTATATCCAAGTTGGACCTAACTAAACTACCCTTTATAGCTAAAATTCTCCTGAGCACAACTTGATCTCTCATATCAAACATAGTCGAGTCCCACAACAAAATTAGACCACCAGAAGCGCCTTCAGCAGGCGAGCACAACATATTCCTAGCATTCTTACCTATCAATCTTCTTTCTAAGAGACCACTAATCACATAAATTTTTTTATTCTTGCAACATAACCACATCAGCCTTATTCGACTCAATAACACGGGATACTTCACGTATTTTTTCAACTTTCCCCAGCCCTCTCACATTCCAAGATAAAACAGACAAAGACTCTTCCATATAAATGAGAACACACACCAAGCAGGATACACCAGATAACAAAAGGGATTCAAGACTTACCCCTCCTCTCGATAGCTTCCAACCTAATAATCGCAGCTTCTCTCGAACCTGATAATTCCACTCCCAGTGCCTCACCAACTGCCATCGTCAACTCCGCTTCATTTTCTATGCACCGATTCTCTCCCCAATGGACCCTGTTCTTATCACCCTTAACTTTCGACCGAGATGAACTCTTCCGCTCTTCTTGCAATCCATTTTTGCACAATTTCTTCCTTCTAGCTTTAGTTAATCTCATGGAAACACCTTTCTTCGCTCGATTTGAAACATCCGCCTTTGGAATTCGGGACATATTCTGAGAGGAAAAACCCTCCGCTAGGTTCTGAGAATTAGAAAGACCCATCTTACCCACTGTAGAAACAGCCATCCGAGCTTCATCCACAAGATTAAAGGATGAAACTTCCTTAATTAGCACGTCCTGAAGCCTAGAACCGTGAGAAATGGACTGGCTTTCCCAACTTTGTGATAGATCTCTATTAATTTCCAAGAGCCCAAAGCTCTCATCTACAGGCTGAAAAACAGGCCCAATATTGGCCATGCTAGGAATGTCGTGCAATCTCTCTTCTGAATCCCCAATATTTACAGCTAGATCCACAGGATTAACCTCAACAGCTCCCACTTGGCTCGATTCTCTAACCAACACACCATCATCCTTATCAACTCTCTGACTAGCAGATTCAAACTGTTCCATCAGCTGCCAACTTTTCGCTAACTCAGCCTCTGCAACGTTTTCTTCTACGAAAGCCTGATCAACCGCCTCATGTTCCAAAGCTGGAAACCACTCGATTCCCCGCCGTTGACCCATCTATAAAAGTACGAAAGTCCTCATGGGACTCAGTACGGATGCTGATTTTGAAAATCTTTCCATTTAATATCATGGGGTGAGACTATTAGAGGAGGTCTTAAAAGCAGGGACTTTGGAACACAGTTATGGAAAAGCTTGAGACCTGAAAATTGTGCCAAAAAACTAAGCTTGGCGTTGCTTACTCTGTTCTCACCCCAGAAATTAACAAGGAGACCATGGTAAGTAAAAGAAAGCATTTTTAATGTCGTGCTTGATCCAAGGATTAAACAACTAGTATCTGATTTATTCTACTTTTTTCTGATTTTCAGAATTTTTTTAATGTTGGCTTTTGAATCTTTTGATTGTCAGAACTTTAAGGCACCGAATTTTGAGACTCCACAAGCGGACCCGAAGAAGGTGGCTTCCATTATATTGGGTGGCGGTGCTGGGACACGCCTCTTTCCTCTTACTCGCAATAGAGCTAAGCCAGCAGTAAGAAACCACTGTCTGGAGTTTTTTTTTTTTTTTTGATGTTTTGGATTGAAAGTAAATATTTTTCTACTTGAAAATGAATCTCAATCATCAAATTTGAAGTCTCACATTGGTGGGATTAAAGTTTTCTAATATTGTTTGGTTTTCAGGTTCCGATTGGAGGGTGTTACAGGCTGATTGATATTCCAATGAGCAACTGTATCAACAGTGGGATAAACAAGATATTTATCTTAACTCAGTTTAACTTCTTTTCCCTTAATCGTCACTTAGCTCGGATTTACAACTTCGGAAATGGTGTAAATTTTGGAGATGGTTTTGTGGAGGTAAGGCTATATTGATTTAGCAATACTGGGATAGATGTTCTGAATTATGCATATTATTCAGAAATCCATCTCTCTTGTGATAATTTTGTCCTCGTGAAGTTTTTATTACATATCTGAAAGTTTTGATGAAAACTAAATTGCCCGTCGCAGGTTCTGGAGGCCGCTCAAACATCAGGAGAATCAGGGAAAAAGTGGTTCCAAGGCACAGCTGATGCTGTGAGGCAATTTGTGTGGATCTTTGAGGTTACTTTCTGTGATTTGTGTTTGAGCTGAGATCATCCGCCATACCCCTGAAGTTCACCAAATATGATTTGTTTTACTATCAGGATACCAAGACCAAAGACGTAGTGCGATCATCTTGACCGTGCAGATTATATGGTACATTGTGAAATTTCTAACAGCTGAAGCATGGCATTTTACTTTTTTACTTTCTGGTGAATTAAGATTGTACCTTGAAAAATCATCAGACTAAACCACGGTCATTGTTCTTGCAGAGGCATATCGACTCAAATGCTGATATCACAATCTCATGCTTATCAATGGATGACAGGTATTTATCATGTTTTCTTATGTCATATTAAATATTCTAAGACAAAAGCCTAATATCTATATTCTTTAATGTGATTCTCTCAGTGTAAGGTGTGAGTTACAGGGAACAGATCTATTACCATGACGTGAAATATTTGAATATTGGTCCTCTATCTAGCTTTTAGATTATTTGAATATTGCTTTTGTTACTGATGCTCAGGGCATGAAGTATTTACAATGGTTGCTTTCCTTCAGAATTGGGAAATAAGTTCACCCTTTTTTTTGCAGGCGTGCATCAGATTATGGATTAATGAAGATAGATGGAGCAGGACGGATCGTCCAGTTTGCTGAGAAACCAAAGGGCGCCAATCTTAAAGCTATGGTACATGTTTGATCTCATAACTCACATTTTCATAATTGTTCTGTTTCCGAACATTATTAGTTGCTGATAATCAAAGCTAAAACTGTATGTTTCACGCTTGTATGACAGCAAGTTGATACCTCCAAATTAGGCCTATCAGCGCAAGATGCTGCAAGATATCCATACATTGCATCAATGGCTGTGTATGTGTTTAAAACCGATGTCTTGTTAAAACTTCTGACTCGGAGCTATCCATCATGCAATGACTTCGGCTCCGAGATTATTCCATCAGCTGTAAAGGAACACAATGTCCAGGCAAGTTGACTTTCAAAAGAACTGTCACATTTAGTTTCCACTTTGTACTTTCATTAGTATGCAGTTACTATTTGCAATAATGAGGACTTCTGCTCTAGTGATCAAACTGCTGAGTTTCTGGCTGTTTGAATGTTTGCAGGCATATTTGTTAAACGACTATTGGGAAGACATTGGAACAATAAAGTCCTTTGATGTCAATTTAGCCCTCACGGAACAGGTTGCTCTCCCTTTTTTCTGAAAAATGTCCTTTGACGTCTTTTACCGGTCAACAAAGATACTAAATCCCCCCTCATTTATATTTGCTTGCAGCAACCCAATAAGTATACATCCTAAAGAAGCCATCTGCAATAGCGAACATTTATGTGTTTTTTGTATTACTGCTGCTGCCCTTTGCTGTTCCATAGATTATAAAGTTCCCATGCAAATTTTAAAGAAACTCGAACCCCGTTTGCTTTATTTGTAATTCCCCCTTCTAGCACACACAATATAAGCTGGCTCATCATATTAGTTTATAATCGCAGGATGCCATTAATCTTTAGCGAACAATTCATTTCTAGAAAAGAGCATTCACCTCATTATAAACCCTGTATATATAATAAAACTACATCTTGTTACTTGATCTTCAAACACTTAATTTATTATAACACCATCATATATTTTCTTTCTCAATTTCCTCCTGTGTTACTGACGCCATTTCCAGACCACAACAGTGCTCTTCTGATATGCCTTGCTTTGTTCCATTTCTCCATGTCCCTCAACCTCACATACATCTTCCGAATCCGATTAAGTTTCTGAGACTCTTGAGCAATGAGGTTTACAGTTGAGGTGCTTTGGCTCAGGATCACCTCATACCCATCTCCATAAGAGTCCATTCCATCAGCTAAAAGTTGCCAGAATAGCCCACCAACAGCTGCACCTCCACCTCTGGCCGACGAGTAAATCGCTGTATACACAGTGTTGTAAAGCTCGTCTCTTTGGTTAGGACCTGCAATCTTCAAAGATTTTCCGAACTCAGCAAAAAGCAATGGTTTCTGAAGGATGTTCTGAGTATCTTGGATGTGATTGTTTAGCCAAGTATTCAAGAAGGCAATCTGGCTTTCATCATTTGAGTTCTGTAACCTGCTCAGCAAGCAAATGGTTCAAATTCAGGGAAGGATTTGATACATTGTCTTTTTACTGTTTTCACTGAGCATATAAATTACCATTGATCAGGATAAGAATGAACTGTTGCAAAGTCAATTCCGGGGATCTGGTTGTTTGCAATGAAATCAGCTCCTACTTGAAAGTTGGGATTATATTGCTGTTTTTGAGACGAGGATGGCCCATAAAACCCTTCCAAACCAGCTTCTAGTAAGTGGTTTCCATCAATGGACTTCACGTGGGAAGCCATTTCTGTAATCCAGGCCTGTTCAGCAAACAAAATCAAAGCAAAATCTGTTGGTCAATAGTTCGTACATTGGAGGCAGGTAAAAAATGAATACAGTAAAACAAAAGGCTGATACTAAAGTGGTGCAGTTACAACTCCCAACTCCACTTTAATGGATCATGCATGAGTCCGCAAAAAGCACCGACTGGAACCATTGGCATTAAATTCAACAGAGAAAAAAACTAGAAAACAAATAAAGTTTCTGAAAATTGAAACGAAAACAGAGTAACAGTGAAGCAAAACAGCTTGGTGATGATATACAGCTGACCTGCATGGTGTTTCCTGATGGATCCGAGAGGCACCTGGGCTCATTCATAAGCTCCCACGCCATTATAGTTGGTTCATCTTTGTAAGCCACTCCAGTCAGGGTGTTTCTTCTTGTAAGAACAGTCTATAATTAATTGCCAAAAACAAGAATGAAATTAAAAAAAAAACTTGCTCTTTGCATCAATTGCATATCTATTTTTACGAGTTTTACCCGGAAATGCTCTGTTTTGAAAATTGGACCGGATCGGCCTGTTCAACCGGGA